TAGGCCCAAATGAGAGTTTCCTTACAACACCCTGGTCCGGGACAAGCCTTGAGCTGTGGATTATCAATAAAATCCACCTTTACAGATAAAAGCCTTGAAGTCTAAGAAAATATTTTCCTAAGGTCCTACAGTTTGCACATGGGACTCAGGTCTGAATTAGTTTGAAACACCCTACTTGCATCCCTGATGGCTGACAAAGCCAAAGACGCATCTTCTTGTTGCACAGACTTGGCACAGGTGAGTGGGGACAACTAAGGAAGGTGCTGCCTGCTCAGACAAAGCCTCACAAGAACCTTGGTTCTTAGTTGCAGTGTCTAGAACAATGTCTGGCCTAATTACAATGAAAGAGCAAATTGTAGCCAGACATGGTGGCCCATCCTGTAATCCCAGAACTTGGGAAGTACAGGCAGGAGGGTCAAGAGTTCAATCTCAGTTTCAACTACATAAAGAGTTCAAAGCCATCCTAACCTCCCACTTGAGACCTGTCTTGAAAAAAAAAAAAAAGAGGAATTTATTAGTGGTCATTTGTTGCTTGACCGGAGACATGTTCAGGTCTTAATTCTGTGGGTCATGGTTGCAGAGAAAGTGAGGAAGTGTTCCAGAAGCCACACGAGACAAACAGGCCTAGCTCTCAGGAAAAGCAATGGGCCTGGGCATCCTCAACCCTGAGCGTCCATGAAGAAAGAGCCTAGGAGGCGGTTTGACGGATAAAGACACTTGCCATGCAAGTGTGAGGACTGGAGTTCAAATCCCCAGAATCCACATGAAAGATAAGTTAGGCATGACTGCACTTGCCTATAACCCCAAAACTGAGAGGCAGAAGCAGATGGATCCCCAAAACCAGTCAACTTAGTCTGGCTAAAATGATAAGCTTTCAGTTCAGTGAGAGATTCTGCCTCAAAGGAAAAGGTGGAGAGTTGGGGAGACATTGGAGGCCCTCCTCTGGCCTTTGCATATAGATGTATAAATGTGTATGCTCACTACAGAGAGAGACAGAGACACACGCAGAGAAAGTAAATTTAAATGTATCTATGTGTCTACATATGTATGTATGTATGTATGTATGTTTATATGTATGTAAAAGAGCCAACAAAAGAAGTGTGGGGGAGGTTCTAGGAAAGGGAGAAAACAGAGATCCACAGAGAGATGGAGAGATACTCTCAGGCTGACTAGACAGACACTCCAGCCTCCATTCTCCTGCTTCTCCACAAGTCCCAAAATCTGGGAGAATGATGGCAGGACAGCCTTCGCTTACCACCAGCCGGGGCTGAGTCCTGCTTCCCACGCCCCACCCCACCACACCCCACCCAGAAGAATGCTTTCTTGTGCTGGCTGTGTGGTACCCCACAGGCAAGGAAGACACTTAAGGTTCCCTAGGGGCAGATGGCTTTGTGGTTAGAGCTGATGACAATGGGGTTGGAGCAGGGAGGAGGCCTGGGTCTTTTCAGAATTTCTCTTGACTTTTTTTTCATGAGTATTTTTGTCTCAAAGCACTAAGTTTGGCCTAGTCACTGATGTGTCACTTGGTCCTTTTCTGACTCTGGAGGCAGACCATTCTGGTGGACTTGTGAATTGTGGCGGAACCCACAGCCCCAGGGTAACCCTTTGAGTTGGTTTAGTTGATCCTGCTGCCCACAGGGCTGCCTCCGCCTGCCTCAGAGCTCTGCCGCTGTAGCTGGATGCTGTGGGAAAGTGCAGCTAAGGCAGTGGGACTTCCAGGTCTCTGTGTCGTGGCTCTTCCCTCTGAGGGGGGTTTGTTTAACAGTGTCTCAAGGTATAGCCCTGAGTGTCAGAGTTAAAGTTGTGTGTCACCAGACAAGCAGGACACTGGGGCTTTTATTTGGGGTTTTAAGACACTGAAACCTGTTCCCCTTTCCTTTCCAGTGTCTCAAACCAGTCATTTGAATGTCCTCTTTTTCAATATAATTGTTACATTCACACACACAAGCACACATACATATGTATATTGTGTTGGGGGGGCAGACAACCCAGTGGAGTTAGTTCTTTCCTTCTCCCATGTGGTCCCCAAGATCAAACTTAGGTGGTCAGTCGGGGTGGCAAGTGTCTTAACCAGGCAAGCTTTCTCACTGGCCTGAGCTTTCCTTCTTTGGGATGAGAGCACATCCTGTGTGTGATGGGAGTGCTTCTCTGAGCGTCAGGAAAGATGACTAAGTTGTTAAAGGTACATGATGCTCTTGCCAGGGACCCAAGTTCAATTCCCAGCATCAGGAAACTCACAAGTGCCCGTAACTCCACACTTTCCTAGCTTCTGTAGGCACATGCACTCACTAAATTAATTGATTAATTAATCAATTATATAATTAATTAATTATATAAAAGCCTTATTTTTTTTAAAGAAAGATATTGAAGAAGATGCCAGAAGATGGAAATATCTCTTAAGCTCATGGATTGGTAGGATAAATATTGTGAAAATGGCCATCCTACCAAAAGCAATGTACTGGTCAAAAACTTCATATGAAACCACAAAAGTCCCAGGAGATTAAAAAAACAACCCTGAATAATAAAAGGACTTCTGGAGGTATCACCATTTCTGATTTCAAGTTGTATTACAGAGCTATAGTAATAAAACAACATGGTATTGTTATTAAAAACACACACACAAACTCACACACACAGGTTAATCAGTGGAATAGAATTGAAGAGCAGACATATCCTATGAATACTTAGTTTTTGGAAAATAATCCAAAAATACACATTGGAGGAAAAAACAGTATCTTTAACAAATGATGCTGGCCAAACTGGATAGCTGCATGTAGAAGAATGAAAATATGTATCACCTTTGCACAAAACTCAACTCCAAATGGACCGAAGACCTCGGCATAAGGTGACATGCCCTGAATCTGACAGAAGAGAAAATGGGGAATAGGTTTGACCTCCTTGGCACAAGAAAGAACTTTCTGAACAGGACACTGGCAGCACAGCTACTAAGAGCAACAATTAATAAATGGAATTTTGCCACATGGTGGTAGCCCATACCTTTAATCCCAGCACTTAGGAGGCAGAGGCAAGTGGATCGCTGAGTATAAGGTGAACCTTTGTCTAAAGAGTGATTTTCAGGATAACAAGGGATACACAAAGGAACCCTGTCTCAAAAAAACAAACAAAATGATGATGATGGTGATAAATGGGCTTCATGAAACGGAAAAGTCTCTCTACAGTAAAGCATATACCATCATTTGAACAATGTGGCAGTCTACAAAATGAGGGGAAAATCACCACCAATTTTACATCTGACAGAGGGTTGGTATCTTGAATATACAAAGGAACTGAACAACAAGAAAAAAATAACCCAATTTAAAAATGGAGTACAGAACAAAACTCTTGAGTTCTCAAAAGATGAAACACAAACCGGGCGTTGGTGGCGCATGCCTTTTATCCCAGCACTCAGGAGGCAGAGGCAGGCGGATCTCTGTGAGTTTGAGACCAGCCTGGTCTACAGAGCAAGTTCCAGGACAGCTTCCAAAACAATAGAGAAACCCTGTCTCAACCCCCCCCCAAAAAGAAACACAAATGTCTAAGAAACACCTTTAAAAATTCAACATCCTTAGCCCTCAAGGAAATGCAAGTTAAAACCATTTTTCGATTTTATCTCACCCCGGTCAGAATGGCCAACATTGATAAAACAATTGACAGTTGGTGCTGCCGAGGATTCAGGGAAGGGGAACGTGCTTTGCTGGTGGAAGTGCCAACTGGTAGAGCCACTAAGGAACTCAGTGTGGCATTTCCGCAGAACCCTGGAAATAAATCTACCATGAGATCTTGGGTGGACACCCAAAGGACTCTACATCTTACTACAGAAATATTTGCTCATCCATGTTCATTTTTTCCTGTGGCTCATAATAGCCAGAAATTGGAAACAGCCTAGATGTCCATCATCTGACAAATGGGTAATGAAAATATTGTACATTTATACAATGGATTATTATTCAGCTGTTACAAAAAATAAAACTGTGAAATTTTCAGGTAAATGGATGGAGCTAGAAGCAATCAAGCTGAGTGAGGAAACCCAGATCCAGAAAGACAGATATTATATGTTTTTCTTATACGTGGATGTTGTCTTTTTAATCTTTGGATTTACATGTTTCAGTTAGAATAACCACAGAGGTTGAGTAGCTGGTCAGGGACCGGTGGGGAGGAGGGCATCTTCTGAGAAGGTGGAATCCAACAATGGTGGCACAGAGAGGTACAGGGGAATCGGGACTAGGAGGACTAACAAGGAGGGGAGGAGAAGCAGGGTAAAGCACAGGTCACACCAGACACAAGCCCAACACAGACACAGGGAGACGGGGACACACACACACACACACACACACACACACACACACACACACACACACGGGAAGCGGGGTAAAGCACAGGTCACACCAGACACAAGCCCAGCACAGACACAGGGAGATGGACACCACACACACACACACACACACACACACACACACACACACACACACACACACACACACACAGCCCAGAAGCTATTTACAATTGACACTTTCTGGGAGAGGGGAAATCATCATTGTTTTCCAATGGCACTCCACATACACTAGGTATATCAACAACACTCTAGGGAAGGCCCAGGAATAGTTTACCAACATGAAAAGAACTCCGTGGTTTTGTGTGCGTGTGTTTATTGTTTGACTATTATTTTGTCTTACAGACTTTTTGTTGTTTATTTTTATTTCTTTTCCCTTTTTGTGGGGGGAGAGAAAATGAAGTTGGATGGGTAGAGAAATGGGAAGGATCGGGGAGGAGTTGGGGAGGAGAGAGAATATGATTAAAATATCTCTTATGAAAAAATTTAAGTAATAATAAAAAGGAAACAAAACCAAAACAAAATGTGTTTAGATCAGGCATGATGGTACATGCCTTTTTTCCTAGCACTTGAGAGATAGAGGCATCTGAAGTCAGCCTAGGCTACACAATTGGTCCTGTCTCAAAAACAAACGGCAATAAAAGAAGATACGACCACATTTATAAGAAGATTCTATTTTCTACCTGGTTATTTATTGTAAGTGCACAGAAATTCCGTTGGATAGAAATTGTGTAGAAAAGCAAATTATGGTTTCAAGCACCATGCAGCCGTTTTACAGAGCTCTCCTTAGTTCAAATGCCCGAGTTGCATATTCTTTGGGGTTTCTGTCCGGTTCATCATCAGTCTGAAGGCAGTGCTGTCTTCCATCCCTCCTTCTGGAAGATCTGGGGTGTGCAGAGACAATGCTAGTCCTGTAGGTTCAAAAGAAAACAGTGTGTAACACTGAGTTCAAAATAGCGGCATGCATTTTAAATGAATTCACTTGAGTGTCAGAGTGGTCATCATCCAAATATACACACCAGACATAAAACCAAGATAGAACAACAGGTATAAACTCCATTCATGAAGCAGACCCCACACATCCTTCTGAGGAGCGTTCAGAAGCTGCCCATTAACTCCGGTTCCCAGATGGCAGAGGTGGTGTCCTCTCTACATCAGCACATCTCTGGCTGTGAGGAGGTTGAGGGTTGGCCTCTCCACATCAGCACATCTCTGGCTGTGAGGAGGTTGGAGGTGGTGTCCTCTCCACATCAGCACATCTCTGGCTGTGAGGAGGTTGGAGGTGGTGTCCTCTCCACATCAGCACATCTCTGGCTGTGAGGAGGTTGAGGGTTGTCCTCTCTACATCAGCACATCTCTGGCTGTGAGGAGGTTGGAGGGTTGTCCTCTCTACATCAGCACATCTCTGGCTGTGAGGAGGTTGAGGGTTGTCCTCTCTACATCAGCACATCTCTGGCTGTGAGGAGGTTGGAGGGTTGTCCTCTCTACATCAGCACATCTCTGGCTGTGAGGAGGTTGGAGGGTTGTCCTCTCTACATCAGCACATCTCTGGCTGTGAGGAGGTTGGAGGGTTGTCCTCTCTACATCAGCACATCTCTGGCTGTGAGGAGGTTGGAGGTGGTGTCCTCTCTACATCAGCACATCTCTGGCTGTGAGGAGGTTGAGGGTTGTCCTCTCTACATCAGCACATCTCTGGCTGTGAGGAGGTTGAGGGTTGTCCTCTCCAAGTCAGCACATCTCTGGCTGTGAGGAGGTTGGAGAGTTGTCCTCTCTACATCAGCACATCTCTGGCTGTGAGGAGGTTGGAGGTGGTGTCCTCTCTACATCAGCACATCTCTGGCTGTGAGGAGGTTGGAGGGTTGTCCTCTCCACATCAGCACATCTCTGGCTGTGAGGAGGTTGGAGGTGGTGTCCTCTCCACATCAGCACATCTCTGGCTGTGAGGAGGTTGAGGGTTGTCCTCTCTACATCAGCACATCTCTGGCTGTGAGGAGGTTGGAGGTGGTGTCCTCTCCAAGTCAGCACATCTCTGGCTGTGAGGAGGTTGGAGGGTTGTCCTCTCCACATCAGCACATCTCTGGCTGTGAGGAGGTTGGAGGGTTGTCCTCTCTACATCAGCACATCTCTGGCTGTGAGGAGGTTGGAGGGTTGTCCTCTCTACATCAGCACATCTCTGGCTGTGAGGAGGTTGGAGGGTTGTCCTCTCTACATCAGCACATCTCTGGCTGTGAGGAGGTTGGAGGTGGTGTCCTCTCTACATCAGCACATCTCTGGCTGTGAGGAGGTTGAGGGTTGTCCTCTCTACATCAGCACATCTCTGGCTGTGAGGAGGTTGAGGGTTGTCCTCTCCAAGTCAGCACATCTCTGGCTGTGAGGAGGTTGAGGGTTGTCCTCTTGGCAGCTTCCTCTCCTTTTTCTGAGAGTCATGGAGTTTAGAATCAAAGGCTTCTGAGAAAGCCACAGTAACGTGAAGAAAATAAGTAGCCCATCCCCTTGGGGCTCAGTGGAGGACTATGTGATTTGCACAATGAGCGAGACGTGTTGGAACTTGTTAAATGCAGCATTCATGCTGGCACCTAAGACCATTCCCAAGCCGTGGACCCTTAAAGCTGGCAAAGGTCTTAAATTCTGTGACTCCATAGTCCTTCAGTACACAAATACAATTAGCATGGTAGGAACTGGCTTTGCTCATCGAGGAAACTTCCTTTAAAACAATGTTTTTAATGTCCTTCAGCTCCAATTAAAAAACAAAACACCAACAACAAAAAGCTAAAGCAGGTGCTGCTACTGCTATGTAGGGCAGAGACAAGAGCCTATCCCCAGCATGCTGGAGTTCCCAGTCCCTGAGCCAACACCCTGCACACTCTCACCACAGGGCACTGACTCAGTCTATCCCTTCGTGTGAATTTGCTAGAACAAAATACACTAGACTGCATTGGTTAAACAGCAAACATTTCACCACAGTTCTGGGGACTACATTCAAAGATCATGGTAATGTCAGGGTGGTTTCCTGTGAGACCTCTCTCCTGCCTTGCTGGTGACCACTTCTTTTTTCTGTATCTTCCTGAAGCCCCTTACTAAGGATACCTACCCATTGACCTCCCTCTCCTATGACATCATGTAACTTCTGTTTCCTCCTTCTGCACTGTTTCCTACTACAGCCACAGTAAGGCCAAGGGTATGGGGTACAGAATTGCTTGCTAAGTAAGCGCTTTCGACAACCTGCGTTTAATCCTCTGAACCCAAGTATATGTGGGAGGAGAGAATCAGCTCCACAAAATTTTTCTTTGACCTCGTGAAACACAACCTCAAACAACATAAGAAGGAGGCAGGATGGGAGGAAGGGAGGGAGGGAGGGAGGGAGGGAGGGAGGGAGGGAGGGAGGGAGGGAGGGAGGGAGGAAGATCTTTAAAAAATGTTTGCTCTCCAGCCCTGAAAGAAAGCTTTTTAAAAGATAATTACATCAGAGGTCAGAACTTCGACCAATTTTTAGGGTATACAATTTTGTTCATATGTGTTCCCTTATTTATTTATTTGCTTGTTTGTTTGTTTTTTGCATAGAGAAACTAAGGCTTGGGCTGGAGAGATGGCTCAGCAGTTAAGAGATGGCTGCTCTTCCAGAAATGCAGAGTTCAATTCCCAGCAACCACATGGTGGCTCACAACCATCTGTAATGGGATCTGATGCCCTCTTCTGTCATGCAGGCATACATGCAGACAACACTGTATGCATAATAAATAAATAAATCTTTAAAAAAAAGAAAGAAACTGAGGCTTCAAAAAAGAAAACAATTTCTCCTAGCACACTTTGGAAGTTTGGGGTTAAGTCTACACGAAACAGAATATGTGGTTCTAAGCTCAAACTCTGCTGGATGCTGAGTGAGGTCCAAGACTTCACTCCCCTGACCTCTGCTCAGATCCTGCATTCCAGCCTCCAATGCTGGGGAATTGGCAGTGATCTCCCAGAGCACCCCGGGGAGTACACAGATTGGCAACGTGATTTTCCACTAGATTGGAGGGGATGAACTTGAATGCAGTCCACTTGGAAAATGTGACCTAAGCGCACGGGCCTGGGGAACGCTCATGAGGCATGGGAGACACTAAGGTTTCACACTCACAAGTGTCCGGTCTCTGGCTCTCAGGGCCTTGGAGGTTTGACTGTCAGAGATCTCAGGTACCAGCTCAGGGAACAGCTACAAGTGTGGTGTAGCCCAGTTATGAGGCAGGCCCGTTTCCCTTCCAGTCTTGCTGAGTCCAGCCTGTCTGTCCTTGTCCCTCCCTGGTGCCTCACTCGAAGCCTCTCTGTTCTCCAGAGCTGGAGAAGAAACCTCCCGGGCTTTGCAAAGGCTGCGCTGAACCTCTTCCCCCACTTGGTCAGCCCTGGTGTGTCACTCCTGAAGGAACTACAGAGAAGGGAAATGAAGGCTGAGGTTCTCCAAGGCTGCTTCAGGAGCCAAGCAGATCAAACGCGCGGTGCCGGCTCAGGGCTGGAATGTCCCAGGCTGTCTTTGCCCAAGTCCAGGAGCGGAAGCCATGACAGCTAAGGGGATTTGGGGAAATTCCTTCGTGCATTGTTACCAGGCAAAGGAAGTGGTTTAGAGTTGAGCTCTCAATTTCTGCCCTGGGGAACTGAAGCCAGTTTCCGACTCTGGAACTTTTTTTTTTCCTTTTGGTGGGAAATTGAAGGGAGTGCTTCAGGTCCTGAATGGAGAGGGGCCCCCAGATAGCCCCCACCCCCTTCCCAGAGGCTAAGGAGGCGAAGGGTCCACTGAGCCAGACAAAACAGACCCAGAATCTGTTCCCTTTCTTTTTCCTTCCACTTTGGGGCGGGTGGCTCAGAGCCGAGTCGAAGAAACAGAAACATTTTTTTTTCCAGGTCTGCTGGTATTTGCTTCTTGTACAATCAGCACAAGCAGATTAGAGAAATCAGTTGCATTTCTCAGTCCAGGCTTGTCCTCTGGGCTGGCCCTCCTCACAGTAGGTCTACGGGGTTCTATGACAGCCCCTGCCACACGGGAGAGATTCCTGGGCCTGTGTCTCGGCCATGGCTCCCCAGGCGGATGAATGTCACTTCACGGTCTCATTGACTGGCCAAGGAAGATGCACATGCGTCTGTGCGTGGGTGGAGCTGCCTACCTACATGTTTACATGTATGTCCAGACTCGTGTGAACTGCTGGCTTCCATCCGCCGCTGTCCTGGGGCTCCAGTCTTCTGGGCAGCAGTACTCCCGGGCCCGGGCAGAGGAGGAGGCTGGCCTTTCTGAGGCCAGTTTAGGTCCCCCTGGAGGCTCTTGCTAGAAGCCAGATATGAAGCTGTACCAGGCCGCTCCACCCAGGCCCTGCCAGGAAAGCCTTTCCCAGCAAGCTGCCTTTGAGGTGTGACATAAATCTTGCAGGGAAGGGAGGAATGTAGGCTCACGGGTCTTCCGGTTCCCACCCCTCCTTGGCTTAGAAAGCCAGGCTGTGTCAGTGTCGGGGAGACCTACTCAAGATCATCTGGACAGGAGGCATCCACCCCGGCCCTCCCCTCCCCCTCCCTTCTTTTCTTTCTCTCTCCTAACTGCCTTCCTTCTCTTCATTTTGTGCATAAAAGCAATCTTCAAGCACCGCTCCCCGATAATCTCAGTATATCCGACTCAGCTAAACCTGGGTTGGGAGGATTTGACAAGCCTCAGGCCAAGGACCACACTCTTTCCTTCGCTAACTCCGCCTCTGGGCTTTCAGAATGGCAGGGGGCTGATCTTTAACTGGACGCCCTTCCTTCTCTGGGGCTGGAGCCCAGGCAGGAGGCTGCGGCTGTGAAAGCCTTGAGAAGTGGAACTCGGGGTCACGTGTTAACCCACACATTCTATTTGGAAGAATTATGTCAAAGTTAAGAATGTATGAGGGGGTGTGTTCCATAGTAGTCTGTATCTATAAGATTTCTGGGAAAGACACAGACTCCCAATGTATAAAATATGAAATTTTCAAAGTCAACATTCCTAATGCCCAAGTACACTTTAGGACTATGAAATCTTCATGTACAATGATATGTTGTTATGAAATAAATCGTACTGAGCAGTTAGTTGTAAGAGGGCATTTTTATGTTCTATTTTTATTTCCACATGAGGTTTATTTTTGCTCTGACGTTTTATTATAATTTCTTCCTATGGTAGGTAAAGTGCTTGAGAAGTTGATTTAAACCACCCTGACTCTGTATGTACGTGTGTGTGTGTGTGTGTGTGTGTGTGTTTAATATTTGTTTAAGCTTTTATTGAGCTTGTCAAGCCAGTGTGCAAAAAAATGCAGCCCAAAAGCCCTTTTTCCTTTGGTGGTGCCTGGCCATTAATACTAGGTGGTGACAACAAGATTCTCACACACTTCAGATGGGGGATTATTCTGGGTTTTCAAGGAAATCTGAGCCACCAGTTTCAGAGACCTCTTACTGACTTAGTGGGATGACGAAGGGTGTCTCCACACTCAGCTGTCACTCAGTCAGCTCAGTTCCTGGGCTCCTTCCGGGCTGGCAGGGCCCTGCAGGCAGGGGCAATTTGCAGCATTAGTGGAGACCAGAGCTCGGAGTGGCCGCCCCTCCCCCAACCTGTGGCTTGGCCTCAGCCAGGGCCAGTTGAGCGGCTGCCTTCTATCCGCACAGAGGGAACTTTCCAGATCCACGGCAGGCTGGCTTCCCCCGGGTTAGGGCTGCCCAGTCTGAGCTGTTTATCATGGACAGCAGACCAACGTGGGATCACCTTTGAGGAAGTGAGTTGAGAGAGCCAATTGTGTGGCCTACGTGTCGGGGAGCCACGCTACCTACAAAATTTGGCCAAGGGGAAAAATAGAAAGTCAACATTTTCCAGCAGGCTGGGAAGGTGACTGAGTATTTCTGGAGCTCGGGGTTCTGGTGACATGGTCCTTGTGGGGGCGAGGCATAAAGGGGCGATGGTAGGGACATTGACTGACCTTTGCGAGGTTCAGAGGAGGAGGAATAAATGAGGGCGGAGCTTTCGCTGCGCCACACTGACAAGGAAGCTCATCAAATCTGACTTCGGGAGTCACTAGGCCCATCCTCATCCCCTGGAAGGAGGCTCGCCGATGATGGACTCAAAGCTTTCAAAGCGTGGTCCAGCCTCGAAGCATCAGCATCGCCTGGGAGCTGGTTCCAAACACAAGAACATATTCTTAGGCCTTAGCCCAGACCCGTGCAATCAGCAGCTCTGGGCTGTACCCCAACCGGAGGTCCTTGAGGAAGCCATGGGTTGGGGACCACTCTGAGAAGCAGACCAGTCAGTGGGGAAATCACTCAGTGGGGAAACTGAGATCTGGGGTGGAAAGGCAGGGGGAGTAACTCATCGCCAATTTGTCAATGGCAGCACTCACACAAACACATTCTATCAAGCTGGTTCCTACCTCTTCTTCTAGTTCAGGTGATCATGATCTTTGCACCCCACTAAAGGCCACAGTGTGTTCTCGTTGCCCCCCCTCCCCGGGTGGGGTGGGCAGCGCCTGGCCTCTAGTACCCTCACAAGAAACAAGCTGAGCACCCGAAGCAGGCTCTCCGTTGTTGGGAATCACAGTGCTTAGGAGGATTGTCCTCAGCTGGAACAAGTGTCCAGACCCCTCACCAGCTGTGGTCACCAGGCTCTGCTGAGCAGCAACACTCTGCTCCAGGTGACAATGTCCCTCTGGCACCAGTGATTGACCCAGCAGCCGTGGACGAGTCCTGTTTTTACTGTCTTGCTCGGTCTGCTTTCTTACAGTGCCCGGGGGTAGCACAGTCCAGAGAACTGGGCTTTCTCATGTCAATCATCAGTCAAGAAAAATGTTCCACATTCTTGCCCAAAGGCCAATGTGCCGGGATCATTTTTCTCAGTTGAGGTTGTCTTCCCAAATGACTCTAGTCTGTGTCAAGTTGATATAAAACTAAAACTAGCCAGTACAGGAACTTTTTCCACAAAGTGCAGATCATAAGTAGTTTAGGTCTAGCCTAACACTACTCAGGGGAGCCTTCTCAGAGGAGAAGCAGCCACAGACAATACATAGAGACATCAGCACAACTTTGTAACAGTGAAACTCTACTCTCCAATCAAGTGACCATCTTTCCAGCCAAGACGTACCAACTGCTGTGCTAGATTAATGCTTCTATTGTGGCATAGACCCATAGGAGACTGCAAGCCCCACCCCAGTCTCCTTAAATCCAACCCAGCACTCATCTGGCTGGGGGTCTTCATGATAACAATGCAAACACCGTGGGTCACATGTTCCTTAGTTACTTACTCTCTGTTCTCATATAGTTCATCTTTGGCTCACCAGCTACCCCTGAATCCTGGAAGAAGTCCCAAATCCAACATCTATAGGTGCCAGATGCTTCAGGCAACAGAAGAGCATGGCTAGGTATCTGTGAGGCCCGGGCATCCTCTAAGCTCAGGTCTGATGAGCTCGCAGCAGAAACGAAAGCCAGGAGGTGAGACAGCTCCACGAGGAAAACTGCTTGCTGAGCAAGCCTGACAACCTGAATTTGATTGCAACAGCCCACGGTGGAAGGAAGGAACTGACCCCGAAAGAATGCACACCTGCGCTCCGACGCAGGAATAAGAAAGCAATTTTTTCCCATAAAAGGAAAACTGGAAGGAAGCTTCACCACTTCAGATTACATACGAAGTTTCATATTATAAAAATCCACATTCTTTTCTTTTAAGTCACCGTAACAAATGTCTGAAAGAAACGACTTAAATGGGAAAGATTTACTTTGGCCCATGGTTTCAGAGGGATTTTATTCCATTGTGGTAGAGTCCACAGCGGCAAACATGGACATGGAACCTCCCATGTGGTGGCAGACCAGAAGGCAGAGAATAGCTTGAACCAAGGCAAGAGCTGCCTTCATTAACCTATTTTCAGCCCGACAGACCACAAGGCTGCCTGGTCTTCAAATCAGTACACTGGGGACAAGTCTTTGAGGGACCTGGAAACTGGTAGTTTGGTAAAATCTTGCCCCATCCTAGTAAGGTAAGCAACAACCTAGACTCAAATCTACCTTTCTTTCTTCTCTCTCTCTCTCTCTCTCTCTCTCTCTCTCTCTCTCTCTCTCTCTCTCTCTCTCTCTCTCATATTTTATTAATTATTTACTTATTTTGTTTTAAGATAGAGGGTTTCTCTGTGTAGCCCTGGTTGTCCTGGAACTCATTCTGTAGACCAGGCTGTCCTCAAACTCACAGAGATCCTTCTGCCTCTGCCTTCCGAATGCTGGGACCAAAGGTGTGCACCACTATACCTGGCTAGACTCAGCTGTTGTTGGGGATCTGGCACAGCTGATGTTATTGCTTTTCTAGTTCTTAGCTATATGAACTTCTCAAGTTGTAAAATGTCGCCTCCCCCTTTTAAGACTGCTAATTTTGATTTGTTGGGGGAAATTGTTATTTTAAATTAATGTACATAGGACATTAGGAGATGGCTGAATGGGTTAAGTGCTTACTGGGTAAGCATGAAGGCCTGAGTTTGGAATCCCTGTGACTCATATGAAAGCTGAGTGTGGCAGTGTGCACCTGTAACCCAACATAGGGATTGGGAATGAGATGGGTGTGTCCCTGGGGCTTCCTAGTCAGCCAGACTGAACAATCAGTGAGTTCCAGGTTCAGTGAAGAGACCCTGTCTTTAAAAAGAGATGGCTCAGGGGTTAAGAGCACTGGTTGCTCTTCCAGAGGACCCAGGTTCAATTCTCAGCACCCACATGGCAGCTCACAACCATCTATGACTCCAGTCCAAAGGATCTGATGCCCTCTTCTGAACTCCACAGGTACTGTGTGCACCACAGGCATTCAGGCAAACACTAATACACATAAGATAAAAATAAATAAAATCAGCCGGGCGTTGGTGGTGCACGCCTTTAATCCCAGCACTCGGGAGGCAGAGGCAGGCGGATCTCTGTGAGTTCGAGGCCAGCCTGGTCTACAGAGCGAGTTCCAGGACAGCCTCCAAAACAATATAGAGAAACCCTGTCTCGAAAAACAAATAAATAAATAAATAAATAAATAAATAAATAAATAAATAAATAAAATCTATGGCAGGTGTGGTGGCACACACCTTTAGCTCCACCGCAGAGACGAATAAGTTTGAGGTCAGCCTGGTCTATAGAGTGAGTACAAGGACAGCCAGGGCTACATAGAGAGACTGTCTTGAAAATAATATAAATAAATACATGATAATAAAAGCAATAAGGTAGCAAGTTGATCTCTGGCCTACACACATAGATCCAGTGGTACATATATGTGCACACAAACACCATGGGCAATAACAAAAAATCATATTCAATCCACAGGACTCTGAGGGCCACCTTGTCCTTTGAGCTATGACAACACTGGACTGTGAGCTTACTTGGGTCTGGTTGGCTCCTCAGCGAAGAACCCTGTGTCGATCCCTGAGCTCTTGCAACGGAAATGGAATCCAGCATGCACCAGGTGCGGGAAGAATGCTGAGCTGTAGCTCTGGGGTGCAGGCGGATGTGGCAAGTTGAAGCTGGCATCACCAACACGGCTCTCCACTCATGGGTACATCCGCTGGCTCCACAGAGGCATCCACCCGTGGCCGTGGTGTAGGTGAGAGGCTCTGCTAAAAGCCAGCAGTGATGGAGTCAGAATGTGGGTCGGGACCCAGGCTGCCCTTCTAGTATGTGCTGGGCACGGGAACACCCCGTCATGAATTGTAAGTTGTTGTACTGAACTAAAGAATATGTCCTCCTCAGTCACAGAGGCTGATGTGATTGATAGGAATGGTGTGGATCAGACAAATTCGCTCAGGGACGCTCAAATCCAGCAAAGGCTGAATCCTTCAGTTGTGGTACACATACATTCAGCAAACACTAATACGCATATAACAAAAGTAAATAAAATCTATGCTAGGTGTGGTGCACGCCTTTAGCCCCACCACTAGGGAGGCAGAGGCAGGTAGAGCTCTGTGAGTTTGAGGCCAGCCTGACATATACAGTAATTACCAGGACAACCAGGACTACATAGAAAGACCCTGTCTCAAAGTATATAGAACACTCTCCTTCCAGAGAGTGTGAACCCATGTGTGAAGATCAGGGCCAAGTACACACGATTTGACTGTGGCTGCCCCTCCACACTCATCTGTGGCAGCATTCCTGAGCCAAATGAAAGTGGGTAGTGGGTTATTCTGTGTTTGGTTTTAACTCAAGCCTCACCTGCTTCTGTTGGGGCAAGGCAACTCATGGTTAGTTAGTCCCTTAATGGTGAGCTGTTTGTCCGTCTCTCTATGGCCATTCGGAGTCAGCCTGTTTCTCATGTTATTACTACCAATAGGAGTCATTTCATTTTGGGAAATGACTTCATCTCCTCATGTGTCTCTTTTCCCAACTATAGAATGGGAACAATCATGATGCTTGCATTATTGGGCTCTTATAAGATCAGAATGAGAAATGCATTCATTTTTTCCTAAAGAAAAGTTATTTTGAGATAGATAGGGTCTTGCCATGTAGCCCAGGCTGGCTTCAAATTTGAATCCCTACCTTAGCCTTCTGAGTGATTACAGGCAAGCCATATCGTGCCTATTCTATTGTGAATACCAGTTTCTAGGTAATGGAGACAGCATAAAAATGAGGTAGGCAGCGCCCCTATTCTCAACATGATCATATTCTCCAGTGCATTCAGCAAACATCAGGCACCATGCTGATCTCATTGCTGGTGCTGTCTGATACAGATGTCCCTACCACCCAAATCACGAGGAGGCAGACAGATACAAGCCTAACCCATGGCTCCTCAGTCTTGCTGGGCAAACATGGTCTGAGCATCCATCCTTGTGGTATAAGGATGGTTCCAAGAGCCTACACCGCCTGAAACAGGCTTCCAGAGCACCTGGGTATAACACACTCACTGATTATCTGATGCTGCTTGATTTACCATTGTGTTTAGTTCTTTTCCTCTTAGTGTGGACTGGATTGACTCACTCTAATACTACATGGCCAGTGATGGTGGGGTGTGACATCAAAAGCAGAACTTTGTCATGTCTTCCTCTTGGGGTGGGGTCATTCTCTATAGGGGTAAACCTGCTGCCACATTGTGGAGACATTCAAGGAGCCCCATGAAGGGCTCAGCAGTAAAGAATCTAGGTCTCCACCCAACAGCCAGCAGGAGACAAAGCTCTCTTAGTAACTACCCTGACAATGAGCCGTCATGGAAGCTTCCAGATGACTGCAGCCTGACACAGACTGAGCCAGAACACCGGTGAGAGCTGTTCTTGGTCCCCAACCCAGGGAAACCCTGAGAGCATAAATGCTTGCTACTTGAGCCACTTTTTGGAGGTTCTTTATGACATAGCAATGGATGAAGCAATAGTGCCTTTACCCAGGACAGACCTGGCTAGAATCACTGTTCCAAGGACTGAGGTCAAAGTCTGCAGAATGTGTTCCCACAGCCACCCCTCAGAGCTGACTTCACATAGGAAGAAAATATCAGGGTGAGGGAAACTGGAAGACTCGCAGGGTGGCCAAGGGGCTAACAGTCTCACTGGTGTAGAAATCACCCATTCAGGGTGATGTCATGTGGACCAGCACTGTCAATGCCTGAACTTGAGGGGTCTGAGAGAGGGAGGCCCAAAGGTACCACTCCCGGAGCAGACAATAGTGTCTAGGACCCAGCTTTGCCCTGATTTATCTGCTTGGGAATGCTGCTATCCCCAGGAGAGGATAACCCTCTGTGTAATGTGTAGTTTTCCTCCGCCAGCCGCTTTGGTTTTTCCCTGCCAGCCGCTTGGGCTCTGTCACAGTTGTAGTCCCCAAGTAACACACAGGAGGCTATATTAACTATGAGGCTCTTGGCTTTTGCTTGTTTTCTTACTGACTACTCTCACTTAAGTATTTACACCATAATTGTAATCTAAGTATTTCTCTTACTGGAGAAAGGGTCCAGACCTCTTACTTCTATGGTGGCTACATGATGTCTGCCTGTGTTTCTCTTTCCCAGAATCCTCCTCGACTCCTAGTCCCACCTATCTTGCTTCCCTATTGGCCAACAGTGTTTTATTCAACAACCAATAAGAGACAGATTTACAGAATGGCATCCCCCCATCACCTCTGTGTTCAGCAAAAGATACTTTGAAGGGCCGGGGGAGGAGGGAAGCGGTAAGAGATGAGCTTTAACCCTCGCCTGGCTATTCTCCAATGGGCCAGTGTCTCCACCTCTCACCTCCCATGTCCCCTCTCTACCCCACAGTGACACTAAGTCAGGCCACTCTTCCTGGACCGTGGAGCTCTTCAGTTCCCTTTTTCTCCTCGTGTGCCCTGTCTGGTTAATCTTAGGGGTCATTCTTGAAGGGGCCACAGACCGCCAAACATTATTCCAGGCGTGTCTGTGGGGGAGCTTCTGACTGGGACCAATGTTTGATCTCTGGGCTTCGTGGATTGCCCTCCTGTTAGACAAGCTTCTCTAGAGACGCAGAGTCGTAGAATGAATACACACAGGGGATTTATCAAAGTGGTTTATTTTGTATAGTGGTTGTCTGCACACAGGAGGTGTTGAGAATCCAGCAGCTTTTGAGTCCATGAGGCTAGATGTCTCA